ATGGTCTTTCATTTATCACTTGACTATAATTAGACCAGAGTGTTATTTTAGACAATTCTAGTCAATGAAACTTGACATAATTGATAGTATTTTGGTCACTTATTGTTCGTTCATGACTATTTTGACACAAAAAAAGTAATTAAAATTTTTTCAAAAATTTATAAAGATTTTTTAACTGTCAATTCTATGTAGTTTGAAAGTTGTTTGCTATATCTCAAAATATAACCTCAGCCTAGCTGAAGAAAGGAACTTTGAGTATTCATAAATTTATGTCATCATTGTTCTGTTATGAACGAACTTTTTGCTATTTCCGTCATTCAAGTCAGAATTACACCAAGACCATTGCATATACAGCGTTGGCAGTTACTGAGCCTGAAAGAGCAATCATTACTAATCATTAGGCTATATATATAATTATATGGATGATTAAAGAATTATTACATAAAGTTGATTTTGGACCTCATTTGTCACACCCAGGTATCTCACCTTGTGGCAAATGCTCATTAACTGATGTCAAAATATAGATATAAATGTCCGAGCGGCTCCATGATATAAAAACAATAATCCAGTACCTGCTTTACAACAACAGCGGATAACTTGTCAAAGAAAGATGAAGGAAGGGGGGTGGGTGGAAAGAGTTTGAGTCTCCTTTAACACTTTGCCATCATATTTTGTGGAAAATCCAAAGAAACTGAGTGGTAAACATCGCCAATAGGCGAGATAAGGTGGTAAAGCGTTAATAGATCTGTATCCGGTTTAATCTATCATAGTAGACTCCGCCTGAGATCCCATCGTTTATGATCCCTGTTCACTTAAGATTCCGTTGTTTAAAGAAAGAAAAGTGGGTGGTTGGCGGGTGCTCTGGTGTGGTTTGCTTCTTCTTTCCTATCTAACATCTATCTTCCTTATCTCCCCTTCTTCTTTTTTATATTTGTTACTCTCTTGTAAAACCTCCAACATACCTGCCAACCCTACAAAAAAAATCTGTATATTACCGACTTTTTGGTCAAACTGCCGATCCACCGATTTCGAGAGATAAGCCACCGACAAGCGCCCCACATGTCTTCTTTATTGCTGTAAAATTTAAGATCTTTGTGTGTAGTAGGCTAGGTGTATATTACCACGCATCCATTGAAAAAACACCAGAGCTGGGAACTAGATCATGGACCCAACTCGCGAGTTGCCGGCATCGCCGGCATGCAAGAGGCGCGTGATCGCTAGGCGGCATGTGATTGACTGCCTAAAACCAGAGAGTTTTGCAGTAATACAATTTTAAAACTGCTAAAACTAAACAGGTTATCTATGACGTCTTTGCAGGTTTTCCCGATACTGCTATGCTAAGGTGTAGAGTGGTGATCGATCGGCCACGGTTAAGCAATGTCGAGCAATTCAACATATTTTCATGCAAATTTTATATTAGTCTTAAAGATCCAAAGATAGACTTTGAAAAGTAATAGAATAGCAGAACTAGATTCTGCACTAAAAACCACACGAAGATGCCAAGTTTCATTCATATACTTCAACTCATTACTGACTTAAGAACAGTTTTTCCTCAAAATACATCGAGAAACGTCCCATTTTTTGGCAATATTTTCATATGAAAGTCCCCCAAAATTTTGAAACAAAAAATCCCAATAACTTTTATTATTTAAGAATGGATTTTTAAAATTCAAAAACCACAGTTCTTAGTTAGAATTTACTCTTCTTTCATTTAAGCTGGATAAAAATTGAATTTTTCGTTGTAATTGCTAATTTTTGTTTTTTGCTCGTTGTCATTTTCTACATTTGTTTGAAGTCACAAACACACTTATGTATGTGTGGGTCAAAATATTAATAAGGGTCCCCAATTAAGTATGCAGCAAGTGGTAATATTATATATAGCCTACTACAGATTTTTTAGGTCAACTACAGATTTTTTAGGTCAACTACAGATTTTTAAAATTTGTGTCAACTACAGATTTTGGCCCAGGCAATGTTGGCAGGTATGCTCTAATCTTCTGGCGCTCATATGACCTTATAATGCTGTTGCGAGCGCTGTAAAACCTTTACTAAAATTAAAAACTAAAAAGAAAAAACAACAACTCCCAACCCCCTAAAAACGACAAGTTTTAGCACTGAAAAGTCACACCAAAGATCCCACTCTGGAGTCTGAAGTGCCCACATTTTAGATCATGTTTTACTGAACAGAAAAAAAACCCTCCATGGCCGTGGATCATCCACACTCACGAAGGCCTACCATCACATCTCCGCTGTAAATTTTTTCGAGTGGTACAATATTCACCTCAGGCACAGGGGCCTTACAATGAAAGGATCACACCCATGTGTAAACTTTTCGATGCCGTTGATTTCTCTGCACATCGAACTACAGCAAGGTGTGATTCGGTAGGCTGGGCCAACACGGCTGCATTAGATGGGATAACATCCAACTGCGATTTCATCGGTGCTTTTGTTTCCCTGACCATCTATCAGGTGTGCATCCGAATTTGCTGGACAGATTTTGCGCCTGTTCTCTGGGACTGTCCGATCTCCTTTGTGTAATGTTGAGCCAGCCTTTCGATCATTCTTCGAATTTGAATTGGTGTGTTTACAAAACAATGATGAGTTACGACCTGAATATGAGCAGTGATTTCGGTCAGAGATGAAGGAAAGCAATAAATACTTGACAGATAAAGGGGGGGAGCAATAGTACATGAGATAACGCTTATTATTATTAATAGGCTAAGGAACCCAAAGACACAAGCCCTTACAATTAAGTCTAGTATTTGCGCACCGATACATTTGTAAATTTTTATCCCATTTTAAATGACAAAGGATACATACTGTAATTGTAATTAATTACCTTTTCAATAGTTAAAACCTTTAGTGGAGGGGGGTGCACCACAAAAAGGAAACTAAATTACTGTGCTCACTAATTCATAGACAAAGGCATCAGTTAAAGCTGTTTTTGACTCTCTTTTACTCTATAATGTTCTTGTATGAAGGCTTTGGCTATCTTAAGTGAATGCTTCTAGACCTAAGACAACATATAATATAGAAATGTCAAAGTCGGGGCGAATTCGCGCTGTGGTTTCAGCGGGGTGCGGGTATCCTAGAGTACTGCTTATTTATAGCACTTCTCTTTGTGGTACTTCGAAAAGTCATTACATCAACATATGCGGGAAATGATGAAGCATTTGCTAGTGTAAAAAATTTTTCCATTAGCTTCAAAGACGGCCAAGTTCTTATTGTGGAAAGGGGATTGGTTGATGCAAACCCAAGTTTTGCCGAACGACAGTCGAAATTTTGGACCCTGTCATTTTCGGAAGGTCCTGCAGGGTTGAAAAAATTACCAGAACTCCACCAAATTTCTCAACCTATGAGAAGCAAGGTCAAAGGACACCTCTGACCGTGTCAAAATTGAGTGATAAATAGTGGAAATATCGAGTCATGACTTTGCAGGTACTTTTTCCAACAACTACTCGTTCTTTCTGCATTTGGATTGCTCACAGGAACGCGCAGGTAAAATGCAGATTGCATAATACTATTGATGCCTTATGAATCAAAGAAAAAAATGCCTTTTCAGAACGTGAAAGTTAACGCATTTCAATTTTTTCACCCAGTCACAACGCCCCGAGGAATGATCGGCTGGGCGAGGGAATTCTTTGTGACGCGAAAGATGCGATGTCATGGGCTCAATAAAGCATGCCCATTCATTGGCCGCTATTTTTGAGTTCCACAAATAGCTAGGAAAACTCCCCTGAACAAACGAAAGAGACATACAATTATTACAATGCCTACAACGTTACTATTGAGGCAAAAATGCACGTTTGCTTAAAAATTTTAGATCTTTTATATGGATTTTACAGCTTCTTTGTCTTCTTTTTCCTCCTATAGACCAGATCTTCTGGTAATGTTGAGAGCCAGAGTTGGGTTTGTATTAATTATTGACACCACTGCCACTATTTTTAATGACTAATAATAAAGAGCGGACAGTTCACTATTATGCTTTTATGTATTGGGCAAGAACATGAATTCATATAATTTCAAGAAAAAGGGGGTTGTAAATTTCTCCATTACAAAAATGCTTGAGTTTACTTCACACTGTGCTTTTAATTCATAAAATTAATTTTACGCATGCACATAACTCGTTCTTATTCTTAAATATTAATCTGTTGATCAATGGTATGATATACTTATGACAAACTTCAAGTTTTTCTTTTGTAATGGTACTGTAAAGTCTTTGCCAAACAAAAGTGTAGTATATGCCTCCTCCTGGCTGCAACTCAATTTTTTTTTTTTATTTTGTCCCGTTCTCTACATGAATTATATATCATCCCCTGGCCTCAGTTTCACTTGGGCCTTACTGATAGTAGTGGCACTGACAACAGATATTTTGAAATCAAATGGTCTTTTTCCTACAGTTGCCAGGAATAATGTTGCCATTGGACTAATAAAAACACAAAATCCTGACTTTTCAATTCAATTATTCCATGCTAAAAGAATTTGTGTTAGATTGTTTTATGGGCTTCAGAATGTTTTTCACTTGCTTCCAGTGTGTTTTACATAAACATTGTAATCATTTTTATACTTTTCCCTTTCCCTTTTCAGAACCTAATGAGGTGCTTATATTATAACTAACCGATACATACCACAGCTGTTTGCACAATGAAGAAAGTATCAGCCTTTTCTGTTTTCAATGCCAAAAGAAAGGTGAGTCTGAAAAATAATTTTTAACTTTCGTTTCAACTATAGCACCTTGTAGTTTAACATTTAGTTTGATTAAAAGAAAAGCTAATATATCCATTCATTACTTTTCAATTTTGTCTTTTTTTCATGCCTTGTTGATGTTGAATACTTCATTAAATTAGATTGTTGTCATCAAACTATAGCCTGTCTGGATTTTTTCAACATTTTCTTTTTTCATGCATATAATTATGGTGTTTCTGGATTTTTTCCACTTTCCATTTTGTTGACCTATTTACACATTAAAAAAAATTAGTTTTGATAATACTGCTAACGTAGTAGTGCAATCTGAAGCTTCAATATCTTTCAATTGTCACAAGTATTCTCAAAGTAAATTTTTGTTGCATGTGTACCTTAAAAGCCGAAGGTGGTAATTTTTAACTCGAGTATCATTATAGTGAGTGTTAAACGTTTTGTAGCTTATTCATGCACTGTTCACATTAATAAATTTTTGTGTCTTTTCTCCATCATTTGCCAGTTACCATACGGCATCATTGCTGTTTTGAGAGCTTCTTCATGTCCTTTTTTCAACTTCTTTTCATGCTCAAACAGGTTAAAGATGAACCATTTATTCAGAGAAGGCCCCCCTCTGGCCTTGAGGAAAAGCAGGCATTGCCTCTGCAGCGTGCTCAAAGTTCTCAGTCCATGGAGAGAAGTGGAAAGAAAGACAAACTAGACAAAGAAACCACTGGAAGTGGGTCAAGGGGAAAGAGAATTTTGGTAAAAGCACACTTTTCATGAATATCTTAACTTTGAACTGAAGCCTCAAATATGAACACAGACTTAAAAAATATCTTAATACATCATTGGCATCGCCAAAAAGGGTAACTCCATTTGACTGTACTGTATGTGATGAGTAATAGGAAATTGGAATTATTTATTTCTATTGCTACAGCGATGAAATTCTTCATTATCATTTTCTTTCAGAGAGGGATGATGATTGGGAAATTGAGATGCTCTGACAGTTCTTCTAGTTTTGAGTGTATTGTGTACAACGTCTCAAATTAAATAGTATGCTATGCTTTTAGAGTGTACCTCGTCATATGACTCAGGCATATGTCTGATTTTGTACCTTACACTGTTGAACAGGTCCTCAAGTGTGGTCAGAGTAATATCTTTTTTAACAGATGTACTGTGCACACTCTCTGTACTTTTCATTTTTGAGTATTTGACGGTTGCTTTACTTTTTGTTTCTAAACAGAATGCTTTGAGAGCCAGCAGCATCAGGGAGAGTATTCGTTTCTCTGGCAAAAAGAGTCGCCCCTCATCTCTGACACTGATTGACAGCAGTAGCCCTTTCAATGGTTATGACGACAGACTTTCTCTTGAAGGGGTGAAAAATGGCAGTGGGGACAAAGTGAAAGGGAAGAAGAGAATTTTGGAAGGTAAGTTACATTTAATTACTGATTTACACATGCTGTGGATGCAGAATTTCTTTTTCTTTTTTGAAAATATTGTGGATGCTGGTTAGTCCAAAATCAGGATACATTCTTTGCATCCCAAAACACCTAGTTTAGTTTTTGAGTGAGGTAGGCATGGTGAGTTGTTGGTTTGTCATGTTTTCCACAAATATTCTCACATCCTTTGGCTCATGTTTGCTTGCAAATGGAAATAAAAGTTTGAAGTCACATACACACTTTATGCAAATTAGAGACATCTTGGCAGCTGAAATTAGATGAAGAATAAACTTGTTACCACTGAATGCCTGGATAAAATAGTAAATCATTACCTTCACAAAACTGAAGAAATGCTATATACTTTTGAAAAAATCTGTCCTCCTTAATGGCATGTAGTTACTCAAAACATTAGAGACACTATGTTGTAGTATGGAAATAATAGATCTTAGTAAAAACCAGTTGTGCTATGGCGGAATTCTAGCTATTAAACATCACATATGACACAGTGCTTAAACTTGTTTACAGTGAATGTTTATTTTCAATGACCTGCAGCAGCTGGCCAGAGTCCCAAACTGGACTCAACACCTGTCACCAGGAAAAGTCCCAGAGGGCAACGGATCTTGAAAGAAGACACACCACAGCTGAGACAGCGATCTGCCCAGACATCAACCACTTCTCTCAAACAGAAAATGCCTTCACCAAAAATACCTGCCTTGAATTTTAATTCGGTCTCGCCAGAAGCAGAAAGCAGTTCAAAAAGTAATGGAGTCGACAGAACCAAGCTGAAAAAAAGGAAATCAAATGAGATGTCAGAATCGGAGGGCTCAAGGAAGAAGAGACGAACTGAAAAAGGCTCGAAGACGCTAAGGGTATGCATGAATTTAATGTTTATTAGAATGTGACCTGAATTTTTTTTTCTCATATTTTGTTTTAATTGTTTCCTGCTTCTGGTTAAATGAGCCGTTTTAAGTGCAAAAATAAATTTTCAGTTTCAGTAAGTTTGACTGCTCTTGCCACACAGACAGGTCAAAAAGTACCGCAGATTAGAGTTGTTACTAGAGCAGAGATGCCAACCAGTACGATTTAACGTATTTTAGTAAGATTTTTTGCCGAAAATACGCGAATACGACTTTCCATGAAAAAAATATGCATTCTGGAATGCGAAAAGTACGAGATTCAGCTTAGGCGAGTAATCCTTATTATCTCAAGTCTCATCTTTTGTCAAAATAGTTTCAGTATCGCAGAACTGGAATATTTGAAAACCAAGTCCGATAAGGTCAGTAAGTTTAATTTTGCCGGTCGCGACTGTGATATTATATTCGTTCAGCTTTTCCCCGTCCGAGAGTACATTTCACTTTTAGGCGGCAGGCAGAAGTGTATGTGACACCGAGGCTGGATCGGGAAAATCAAGATATACTTTCGCTTTCGTTACCACCCAGAAGTTTGCAAGCGGTAGTCTGATAATGCAACATTAGTGACATGCAGGTTGTGTAGTATAAACGCTGAGTCGCCGTGCAAATAAAATTTAATCAATACTCTGACTCGTCTCTGTGCTGTCACTTGTGTAAAAATAAAAGAAAATACAAGCGTCGTCCGATTTTTAGATTGTCTGGCTCGCCATCGTGACCGGTCAGTGACCCTGCGCGCATTCGCATCATAAAAATACGGCATCGTGTGAGCAAAGACTGTCTTTGGTGGGAGTGATGGCGTGGCGAAGTATAGGACTACGGAATAGGGGAGGGGATTATTGATTTTTTTTTTAAAGATACAGTGGGGGGTGTGAATGCAACACCGGAGGACAAAAACTTTCAGCAATTTCAGTATTTTGATTAGAGCTCTCTGTAAAGCATGCGGGGGTGCAGGCCGTGTGTGGAATCGGGACCTTTCATACTTTGCAAGTCTGTGTTATTGAAATAAAGTGTTCACGTTTCCTTGGATGGGTGATAGTAAATTATACCTACAGTGTATGTTGTAGCTTTCTGTTCAAGACTGGCAGATTTTCAGTGTCACTGCATCTTGCCCTCCCGCAGTTGTTACAACTCTCACACTGCGTGGGTCTACTTTAGCCATTCAAGTTATTGCTGTTCTCTGAGTTTGAGCAATAATTTTAGCCTGTCAGTTCATAACATGAATCTTGACACCCAGACTGGTTCTTGATAGTCGAAATTCTTGTTCTAGGCCCTTCCGAACGCTCAAAGCAGGATTAATTTTTTATATAATAATGAGACGAAAATATTATAATAGACTGAAATACTTAAGTCAAACAAGACCCCAGTACAACACTGAACACTAACATGTTGACTGGGTATGTATATTGTACGCGTGTGTGCTCCCTTTTTCGAGCTGGTGAGCTAGTAATTTTTTTTCAGGAAATATTGCTGGACACCCTGAACATTTTACTTTAACTGGTTGGTCGGTCAGTCGTGGGGAATACACATTTTCCCCTGAAAATACACATTTTCATATTTCCCAATACTCATTTCGGTTTTCTGTGGTTGGCATCTCTGCTAGAGTTTAACAACATAAGAAAAGAAAGAGGAGAGATAGGGACGATAGATGTTTGATGGGAAAGAAGGAGCAATTGTCTCTCAGAAGAGCAAGGGATATTATTTGGTTCCATTTAGTATGGGTTCATTTTTTTTCATAATGAGAATACCCTTTATCACTGAATCACATGTTCTCACAATACGTACTTGATAAAGAGTTTTCCTTCTGGTCTGGTTTGCTGGAAAAAATTGCAGCAACCTTTTACTATGATTCTAAGTCTGAGGAAAACATCTGTCTGGTGAGTTTTTGATGTTGCATCATGATAAGCAGAAATTTGGGCTATTTGTAAACAATACTCGGAGGGTTAAAACAGCTGTTTATTATGACAAAATTCACAAATTATTTTAGATTATTTTTGTGTTATGAAAAACTTGTCTGTTATATTTTCTGTCGTCAACACTTTACTGTCCGATCCACACTATAATGTTAGTGTTGTGTCAGTTTCGTCTTTTTCATATTCTTAAAAGCCAATGAAATATACATGTGTATAGAAACAATACTGGTATGGGGACCCTTCCTCATTACTGAACATTTTAGTCTGTTCTTTTGTGTGTGTCTTATTTCACCACTTAAGAAAGAAGGCTGAGAAAAAGAAAGAAATGCCAAAGCATGTGTAATTCTATTGCTATTAAAAAATGTTTTTGAAGAGTAAATGTTTGTTTTTCTTTCTCACAGACATGGCGCAACGGCGGCACAGAATATCCATACATGTATGACAGTACTCTAGAAGCAGCAAAGTTGTTTGAATGCATCATCCACCCTGTAAAGACAGACAGATTTTTCACGTAAGAAGTGGTTTGATGACCTAAGGTTTGGTCAGTTTTTTCTGCCGTACCCAAATTGTTTTGATTGGAGCTAAGCACTTGTTTCTAGATGGTCTCTAGTGACATTTATAAGGCCAAGAGGTATAGCTTATGACCTCCTCTAAAAAAAGAAACAAATTCACATTGAAGCAAGGCATGAAAAGTGTGAATTCTTATTGGAGTCCTGTCTTAGACCATTGCATTTTGGACATTTGTTTAATCTTTATTTCCTGGTAAATTTATGTTGGCCTTCTTCAACTAAATGAAAACTTTGATAAAAACAAACTTTAACTAATTTACAACTTGTGCACTGCATCTTCTGTAGTATGTCAAAAGTTTTCAGACCATATATCCAAATGGCTATGGTACTTTCCAGAGCTATGGAATTATTTGTAGTTCTATTTTGGTGTATTTTTAGAGAACTGTGGGAGAAAAAACCCTTGCTTGTTAAGCGCCACACCCCAGACTACAATAAGGGATGGTTCTCCACGGCTGAGTTTGACAAAATCCTTCGCCAGGTATGCCTTTATTTGAATCTACAGGTTTTTATTATCTTTGCTGAACAACATTCTCTCCTTCATTGAAGCAACAGTTTTCAAAAGTTGCTGGGTTTTAGATAAAATATTTTGCTGATGCTGAGATGGTTACACAGATTATGTTTGTAAAAAAATATTAATGAGTACTTTAATCATTTTTGAGATGATCTGTATAGAGTCAGTTTTTTTTTGTTTGTTTGTTATTGCTATCCTGTTTTGCCTTTTGAAAAAGACATAAGTTTTGTACTCCTTTATGAATTACTTTGAAAACTAAAATTTCTGGTAACCGATTGATAGCAAAATTGTTATGCTTTCAATTTCTTACAACTTCAAATTAAATTTTTTGTTGTTGGATGCACCAGGAAAATATACAGTGGGGTGTGAATTTGGATGCAACATCATTTGTGAATGACAAGAGGGATACACATAACTTGAGTGGCAGAGCTCATGCGCCAGTTGTGTGGGACATGTACCAGGTAAACATAAGTAGAAGATTTATGGATTTCAGTTAATTCTTTAAGTGTTTTAGTTGTTCTTTCACTGATGAAAGTTGTGGGGCTTAAAAAAAGAGATGACAATTAAATTTTTCTCGCGAGATTTTTGATTTTTTTGGTAAACAGGTTGTTGTTTTTTTTCAATCGGCTCATACCTAATATTGATAGTTAATAAAAACGTACACTTGTTGGTCATGACTTTGCATTTGTCTTGGGAAAAAAACCAAGAAATCCTGAAAGAAATCAGAACTTTTCTCTACATAATGAGTACTTTCTATGTCATGGTGTGTTAAGTTAGGTTTGTTGTATGTGCATTTGGACAGCCTTTGTCAGTGAGAAGCGAACATTTTTCACCTAGTCATGTAAAGTATTCTGAGTGACCTACTGAATTATTTCTCAGGCTTTTTTGCTTTGAAAGTACTGGGTTTTTTTCAAATGGTATGTTATTAGAGTGATTTATTTTATCTAGCATTTGATTTATATGTTACAATTTGTTTTGTAGACTAATATTTCTCAGACAATATTGCTTACCAATGGATAAAATGATCTGGAAAATAATTAAAAGACTTTTTGAATTGTCAACAAAATGATGTTCGTAGGGATCCCATTGAACACAATAATTATGTGTGGTGAAATTCGTTTCAGGCTGGCTGCTCCATGAGACTGCTCAACCCTCAGACGTACAGCAGGAATGTGTGGAAAGTGCTTTCTGTTTTGCAAGAATATTTTGGCTGTTGTGTCGGGGCCAACATGTAAGTTGAAAACAAGTTTAGTATTTTCATTGCTTTTTCCCATTGCCAATTACTTACTGGTTTATATTTGGCTACTTTTGATATTTTGTCTTCTGTGATGCAAAAACCTGTGTGTAAAATATTTTTCTACTTATTTTCACTTTTTTTTTTATAGATGTACTCTTGATGTGGAAATAGTAGTTTAGGAGTTGTTGTTTCAAAGAACAAAGGAGTCTTTTTAAAAATTTATAAGTACAGTATTTTGTTTTGATTGATCGTTGTTGCTGCAAGTTGTTTTTAGGAAGTTTTTTTCCCCCCTTGCCACTGCTTTATGAATGAGATGGATCTATTTTTAAAGCTGTGAAGTCTGTGTTTACTTTTTCCCACTTTTATTGTTTGTGTGTCAGGCTTACGCTGTATATGCGTGAGGCAGTTTTCTTTTGTCAACATCTGTTACTGCCACTTTATTGGTTCTTTTCCTCTGACCAAACTTGGTTTCAGACATTCTTGAAGATGTCCTTAAAATTAGTTTTGTGCCTGAAAGTAATAACTATTAAAGCTACAAGAGACCCAATAATCTGAGAAAAAAAATTACGCAAAAAGTTGAAGAAAAATCTCTACACAAGATATTTCCATTTGACATTCTGTGGAAAGACCCTTCTCCGACACACTCGTGTACATAGACTTTGTGTTGAAAGAAGGTCTTTACCTGAAGCATCAAATGTAATTGTCTTGTTTTGAGGATTTTCCGAAAACTTTTTGGTTGATTATTTTTTCTTTAATTAAATTCCTGGAATCATGTACAAATATAAATGTTGAAGTGGCTACCCTCCACAGCTACCTCACACCACCAGGCACTCAGGGTTTTGCTCCACATTATGATGACATTGAAGCTTTTATCATCCAGCTGGAAGGGAAGAAACACTGGAAGCTGTATAATCCAAGGCAGGTCTAGTACTCTTGCATTTGGAATTTATAATTCTCTCTTCTTGGTACAAATGTACTGTTTGCCTTTATGCTCAAGTTAAAAGAATCAAGTGCTTATACTGAGGTTTCCAATTTTGAAAAATATTTTTATCTCTGCACTGATGCTTTAAAAAAAAAAAATGAACATGGATAGTTTAATTTACTGAAAGACTAATGTTGGGGACATATTTTTCATTTTATTCATGATAAAGGAATCCATGATTATAATTTTAACTTCATTTTTCAACCTGGTACATGACTCGAGATAAAGGGTTAAAGTGTTTAGTTATGGAGGCATTTACTGTGCAGATACTTTTTTTTTTTTTTTTAGTTTTCAAAGGCAGCCATTAGCTATGCAGTTGTACTTTTTCATATATTTTAATTAATTAAAAAAATATTTTTTTTCACATTCCGTTCCAACAGAACTGATGAGGAAGTTCTTCCACAGTACTCTAGTGGTAAGTATAGCTTCATATTTAACTTGGCATTATTTGTTATGTGCAATTTTTAGTGCTCTGTTGTTTAGTTGGCAAGAATAAAAACTTAAAGCTTACTTGTCTTCATCTTTCTACTAGAAAATATGGCATTGTCACTCTATTTTTAGTTCAGGAGACGTATGAACTCTCATTAAATGCATTTATCATTTTATCCCCAAAGCTCACTCACTACCATTGGAGGAAATTTTGACCTCTACAGAATAGCTCTGAGTTGTGCTGACCAAGTGACATTTATCATTTTGAGATGTATAACTTTTGTAGTACTTCCAGTCCGTTCACTAGTAATCGGTTGAGTCACTTCATGTAATTTCACTGCCACGTTTAGAATGATGGCTCAAACAGAGGCTGTGTGTATGAGGAATGACACTGCAACTCTGACTTCTAAATGAAGCAACTCCCCCCCACAAAAAATCAGCTATGATGCTATCCTGATACATAATTAGACTGACCCTTTGAACCTTCATTTTTCATAATTTTTTAATGTATTGCCGTGAACTGTCACTGGTACATGTGATATTTAAAAATTCTCCTAGAAATCAATATTTCTTCCCATTTAAACAAAAAATTAGATTCTTTTAGTACATTTGGAAGGTTTTTTTTGTACTCTTTCACAGAAAATTTTTCTCAGTCAGAAGTTGGTGAGCCCATTCTTGATGTTACTCTTGAAGCAGGAGATTTGCTTTACTTCCCTCGAGGCACAATTCATCAGGTATTGGTGGTCTTTTTTTTTTTTAGTGAAAGATGTATTAATGGTAGACTGAGATGAAATTAGTTCAACTCAGATGTCCTCAGCTGCCCTTGCCTCTTAACTTGATACAAGATCATAGCTGCCAACCAATACGTAAAAAACATATTTGATACATTTTTGAGGACTGAGGGCGGAAATCAGTTTTTATGTCAGAAAATACTTTTTTTTCTTTTTTCTAGTGTTTTCTCCTTATGAACTCGTAGATACTGAAAAAACCCCTCCAAAAACCATGAACTTTCAAGACCAGATTTATTCAATGAAAAATGCTTAGAATGAAACCCATAAGCCAACTGGAGTTGCGTCAATTTATATAGAAGAGATCTGTACTAAACTTTTCTAACACTATTGTTGGAGGTCTGTTTTGAATACCTTGAATAAATTTATAAATTTAATTTAGAAAGGTGCATTTGGAGGGGGCGGGGGTCATTGCTCACCATCTTGATGGGTAGAGTTTGTTGAAAAGTTGGCAGCTATGCAAGTTTATATCTTTTAGCTGAAATTTTAATCGCTGACATTTTGTGTTGTCTTGGTCTTAGTTTGGCAGTTACTTCCTATAACCAGATTTCTAGAAGTCTAACCTGGTCAAGGTGTGTGTCAGCTTTGTTGTGTGTATGTATAACATAAAGATTTGTTTGTGATTCTATGTGAATATTTGCTGGTCGCTATAGTGAGGTGTGCTCCTCCTCCTTTTAAGCGGTGCTATTGTTTCTAGTCTACTTCCTTGCCAAATACGGTTTTTGTTGTGCTGACTCACCATGAAAATGGCTCATTAATGATATTGTGGCGTGGTTTGTGAAGTTAAAACAAATTTTTTTTCTATTCTGAGCAGTGCAGTGATCAAATTTTATTTAATCGCTCTAGTGCTCCTCTTATTTATAAATAGCCTGCTTTTTTAAAACCGGCGTTTGTAATGTAGTGTTTTTAAAACCGGCGTTTGTGATGTAGTGTTTTTAAAACCGGCGTTTGTGATGTAGTGTTTTTAAAACCGGCGTTTGTGATGTAGTGGTTAGGGGCTTCACCCTCACATGCAGAATTTCTGAGTTCAATTCCCAAAAGGGGAAGATTTTTATTGAGTATTTCAGTCTTTCTGCTGGGATGTTGTATCCCTCGCGGACCGGGTTGGCCGTGACAGGCGAGTTCAAAAGACTGTCTCGTTAATGATCGAAATTATGTTGATCACGTCGTAAAAACACCTATATTAAATTTTTAAAACTAACCTCTTTTGATGTGCTTTAATGCATAATTAATCATGTTTGTATTTTTTTTTGTCCGTAGGGAAATGCTACTGACGAACATTCTTTACATATCACAGTCTCCTGCTACCAGATGAACTCTTGGGGTGATCTGTTGAAAAAGGTACCTTGTGTATATCTCAAATTTTTCTTTCAAAACAGAGAAGGTGAATTATAAGAGGAATTGCTTTGTTACTTTGACCTTTTCCATGTGATGTCATGAATCAGTAAAGGAACGGGATAAGTTTCCCATTTGGTATTTAAAGTAGCTTTCATGTCTGATTTTTTGTTTTATATTTGCTGTTACTGTGATTTATGTAGGTCGTTGTAGGTCTTGCTGTTCTGATATTAACTGAGTTGTTTTTATCCTCTGTTGATCTGAGAGGGGTAAGTTTTAGCATCTAGATTTGGAGAAGTTATGATATATGGGATTGGTCTCATAAGATGTACGCAATAGGCTAGGTTAAGCATGAAATGACTCAAATTAGAGGCGCGATCAGTTGTCTCTTGGAATAGCGTAAATAAGGTTCGTTGCAGGAGTAAAATGCTCAAGGCCACATCAGCAATGTCTGCTCATCCTGCAAGCGACTTACTTAGTTGAATCTGAGTTTTTCTCATTTATGTGTTCGTTGAATCTGAGTTATTTTGTTGATTTTAATGTGGAAACAAAGGGGGGGGGGGGGGGGGGGGGTGTGTGGGGGGGATTAGTTTCCATTTGGTGAATGCAAGTTTCTGCTGAATTCGAGTACATTGTATCCAAGTTTCACTGTACCTGAATCAACAAACAGTTTTGATGGAATCTTGCTGAGTGGTTGGAGTATCATGAACACCTTTTCACTATCCAAGTTCAGAATAGCTTCACTATGGCTTTGACTCTGAGGGTTGTCTGCTATTCAGATCAGCATGATACCAGCTGAGTCAGTGGTAATCAAAATCTATGTTTTAGACTCTAATTGATTATACCATTGGAATATTTTGTGTTAAAAAACAATTTTCCGAAAATATGCATGATTCATTCTATTGTTGCTATTGATTTGTTGAATTTCCGATGGCAAAGATGTAAAATTCTCATTTGTCTGCCTTTTTCAGCTACTGCCTGCAGCTATTGATCTGGCTGTTTCAGAGAATGTGGAGTTTAGAACAGGCTTGCCTCGAGATTACCTGAATTATATGGGCATTGTCCATTCTGAGAAGGTACTAATGATTGATAAGGTTTTGATAAGTTGTATCACAAAAAGTTCAAGAATCTAATCTCCCTCTGTCTGAAGTGTGAGACTATCGGACTATCTCTTTTGCTGTCTAGACAAATAATTAATTGTTATTGTTCAAGTTTATCAACTCTGCCTCAGGTGTAAGTTTTTGTGTGCAGAAAAAGAGTTGAATGAATATTCTTTAGTCACTCTGTGTTGTACACGCTTTTGCTTTTTACTTAATTCTTCACGAGTCAGCTTCAGCGGGACGATAAGAAAATGAAAATCAAAGTTTGCCATGTGTGTTAATTGTAATAATAGGAAATAGAAAGTCTGAATTTGTTTATTTTCCCCTCCAGGATCTTCCAGAGAGACAGGGGTTCATGGACAAGGTTCAGTCGTTGATTAGGACCATGATGGAGACTTTGCCTCTGGACTCGGCATGTGATCAGATGGGAAGACGACTTATGCACGATGCGATGCCTCCTGTCCTGTCAGAAGGTGATTAAGGTGTTAATGCTGCGTTGATCAATGGAGGCTTTACTTTTTAGTGCTGAAAGTTTGCTACGAAGTTGGATAGATAGAAAACTCAGTAGGTGGGGGGGGGGGCTTTGGTGTGGTTTGCTCCTTTTGATATCAGACGTCTATTGTCCTTATCGCCCCTCCTTCTTTGCTTTGTATGTTTCCCTCTTAGTCTCTTGTGACACCTCTAATCTATGGCACTCGTATGACCTATTTGTGTTGCAAGTGCCATAGAACTCGTATTAAAACTAAAACTTAGAAAAATTAGGTTTCACTTCTGTTTTTAAGTTATACAGTGGTGCTCGGCTATAACAGCATCACCAGGACTGATGTGATGTCCCTGTAACGGCTGAACCCTGTTATTGCCGGGGATCAAGGTTACATACACCGTAACCTGTAACTAATGATTAACAAATGGGATCTCGCTTTTATTACATGGATTACCTACTACCAATTTTATCAGTTACTATTGCTACTTTTTGGCCACTTAAATTTTCGTTCTTCTCATCTTTATCTTGTCATTTCTTGTACAGTGGAGTCCGCTTAAAGTGAACTCTTTGGGACCAGAAGAAAGTGTTCACCTTATCCGAGGTTCAGTTTTACCATTTTGGTAGGGTGGAGGCTTAGAAACTGTAGCTACACGCTGTAGTGGGTGGGATTGGGGGACAACACAGTGTGCGAGCCTAGACTAGAGCTCTTTCTTTCTGATTGCCGTCGCCAATGCCGAGCTGGGATTGTCTTTTATTTTCACAGCATGGCGACAGTGACATGATCGGTCCGTTCTCTGCTTTCACTCGTCTCATTTTGGGTGTTCACTTCATTCTATTTCCCCATGAAACCGGTTTATTTTATCCACTATTTTTTAACTTAAACAAGTAGCGTTTCAATCGGAACCACAGAATATCGTTCAATTTAACCGATTGTTCAATAGAGGTGGGCGATTCCTGTTTTTTTCAGTAACCATAGATTCCCGAATATTAAAGGCTAGGAATTGTAGGAATCGGCTCCGAACCCAATTACTTTCTTTATAGCCAGTGATGTGATTTCTTCCAGTGGCTCTATGATTTCTTCCAGTGGTTTCGACCCATAGTCAGTATTATGATTGTATATGCAGCGACTAGCAGTTAGCCCGACCCCTGCAATGACCTCCGGCGAGTAGCAATTAGTCCGACCCTTGCAAATACTCCCAGCGAGTAACGATTAGTCCGACAACTGCAATTATTTCCGGCCAGTAGCAATTAGTCCGACCCCAGCAATTATTTCCGCCGAATCGCGATACCTATGACTACTTCCGGCGAGTAGCAATTAGTCCGACCCCAGCAATTATTTCCGCCGAGTCGTGATACCTACGACTACTTCCGGCGAGTAACGATTAGTCCGATCCCTGCAATTACTTCCGCCGAGTAGCGACACCCATGACTACTTCCGGCGAGTAACGAGTAGTTCGACCCCAGCAATTACATTCGGCGAGTAACGAGTAGTTCGATCCCTTTGATTACTTGGGGTGGGAGGGCGCTACCCCAGGCACTGCCCCACCCAATCTCTACAGTATGAAGTCAGAGACCAACACTGACCTACACCGAGAAATGAGAGTTCATAATATAGAGCTTCGTGGGCAGACGTTACAGTTTTAGATTTTGAATTGAAAGAAAAGGGAATATAATTTAAAAACAACAACATGAATGAGAAAAAGGCGAAAGCAACGAATAAGTTTTGACACTGTATACTAGATCGATATAATCTTTGACAATGACTTTGCATCCCGACTACTCTTTCTTAAGTCTTCAAGATTCAGGATAACCTCGATTTCAGAACATAGCAAAGCACCAACGTTTTTTTTCTTTCGAAAAATACATTCTTTGAAGAAAAAATAAGATAAAAATAGAGTAATTGAGAATCGTTAGTTTATGAAAAAGGGATCTGTTCTTTTTCTCAGAGGCAATAATCGCTGGAATCGATTCTTGGCCCACCACTATTGTTCAAATAAAGCGTGATCACTTTGGCCTGACTCCACTGTATGTTATTTTCTTGGAAGTTGACCATACATAATTGGGCTCAGTTTTTACTTTCATTCAACCCTTTCAACGAGAGTTGGATACCAATACTTGTGCTGAGATAGGTTTTGTTTATTAAGTGTCTCTGTCTGTCTGCTTGGATATCGTGTCACCCTCAGCTTGGGTTAGTCCTGATGGGCTGGATCTGAGCAGCCGACCCCCCTAAACGATCGAAATAGAGTTCACTTGGGCATAAAGCATCTGCAATTACATATTATTACTACTGTGCTACAAGTACTGCTGCCTCTGGTGCATCTCCTTCACCATTTCTTGTGTGTCTAGTGAGTGTCCGTCTTGTTTACTCTCTCTCTCTCTCTAAACTTAATTTCACAGCTGAGAAAAGCTGCAGCGTCCACAGTGCCGGTGAGAGGTGGGATGTGGGCTTCAACAGAGTGGTGGGCGTGTCCGAACTGACACCCACGACCCTAGTAAAGCTGATCAGGAGAGGGGCTTTGAGGTGAGTTTTGCTTTAAATCTTATGGCACAGTTCATAGGTGCCTTGAAAAGTGTGTCGCATCATTAGAAGGTTTTAGCGTTTGGAAAACTTTGATTGTTTTGGACTTTTAGTCTCCTGTATGAAGATGACAGTCTTAGTCTTTCCCATTTTTTTGTGTAGACGGTCTCAACTTTTCTAGCTGCTTTCAATCCAGTAAACAGTAAAAGTAAAGTGTATTGTATTGTATGGTGTTGAGACTGGTACAAAGCAGGTGGTTGGAGGGTGCTATTTCTCTTCTTTTGGAGGGTGCTATTTCTCTTCTTTCTCTCTGTTGTTTTTGCTTTATTTTTTCCTACATTATATGACCATGATTATGTGAATGTGCTTCTCTTTACCCAAACTAACTCATACAAATAAAAGAAGTTGAGTTCCTAGGGCATGTTTTTACTAATACACAGAACAAGTTTTCTTGAAACCAGGGGAAACCTTCATTAACCCACAACTTTGAGAAACAGTTTTGCTTTTGATTTTTCCATTGAATATGGAAAGTTTGACAAAATGTTCTGTTTCAAGAACTCTAAGGCCCCAGCTAGACTGGATGGGCCAAGCTGTCCTGTGTTGTGCTGTACCGAATTGTTTGTTGTGAGGCGAGTTTATTCCGGTATATACTGTTCCTGGGCCTCACGGCTTGATGGTCTCCTGATGCAACAAACACAGATCGGTACTTCTTATGTGGAAATGACCACTGTTCATGCTTGCATCCGTCTCCACTTTATAGAGTTTAACACTTTGCAGTCACATGGCGCACTAATGTGCCGGTGAAAGTAAATTAGTTACCAGTCGTGAAGTGAACTTTCGCAGAGATGAACAACTTGTGTTTCGCGCGCTCATATGACCTTAGCAGTTGCGAGCGCCGTAAAACCTTATACTACTTAGTACTTAGTACTTAGAAAATTATCCGTTCCGATCACCCGGTACAGTTGTCCGCCAGGCCCAAGAAGTTGGTTGCAGTCGCTCTCCTGGCTGGGTGACCATATGGGGTATTTTGTACAGCTGGCTGTGTGACTGCAAAGCGTTAACAATGAACCCTATTGTGTTATGGCTGTGGAAAAAGAGGTGGGAGAGGAAAAGCAATCGACACAGAAGAACATTAATGGGTACATTTACCTTTTTTTAATGTAAGTGTTTAATGCCCCCATCGACACAATTTAGATCTGTCAGGAGACGGGGTTCTGACCCTGCCTGTCAGGGCCAACACAAGCTGAGAGGAATACAACATCCCAGCAGAAAGTCCAAGATACTCAATAAACATTAGCCCCATTGAGGAATTGAACTTGGGTTTTCTGCATACAACATTGAACCGCTTATCCGCTATGTTGCAGATGCCGGTATATTTACTTTGACATGAAATTGGAGAACATTACACTATTTTTGAAAATGTTCAGAATGATGACGAAAAATTCTTCAATCACACAAGAATGATGCTCCCATCATAAGAATGATGCTCCCATCATTCAAAGTGCTTCGTTCCCTTGTAGAGGATAATAGGATTCATCACCCTTCATAAAACTATGATGTCACTGTATCTTTTGCCACTTTTTGAGAACAAATAGGATCTTTCTTTGACACATTTAATAAGTGCAATATTAGTGTCTTAATCATCAAAATCTTTGGAGGTAAAAAAATATGGTTTGAGTTTGATCATCACTCATTCTGATTTCTTGTGTTGAACATATAAAAAATATAATTACTCTTTGAACCAAGGTCAAGAGAGACAACAATAAAATGTTTTTTAAAGGAGAACACAATAATAGGAATCTGACTAACTGCTGGGGAAAAAAATGTTCATTTTCACTCTACACGCATTGCCATTGTTTGCTACATCATAAGACGTTGACCTACATCTCACTTGCACACCTACCATGTGCAAGACAAATTACTGACTGTGTTAACTAACGCTGCCTCTATTCTGATAGTAATTCGATAATTACTATTTCCATCAAGGCACCATGGTACAGCTTGACTTGTCCTGTCTAATCCCCCACTAACGTGCTGACAGCTGCTGGGTGTGAATTTTTAGTCATTGTTGGAAAGTTCCTCCTCTACCTGTAAAAGGATTTATTGTATCGTTAGCAGGCTGTAAAACTTCAGACACTTAATTGACTGGTTAGCTAATTTGTTTTTATCAAAGGTAGGTTGAAGTCAGTAGCATAGGTTTCAATGAACAGGCTTTTAAAAGAAATTTACTTTATCTTCTGGGATACAGAAAAAATAAAGAGTGTCGAACAAAGTCACTGTTCTCGCTTCACTCTGTTCAACTGAGATATTTCTCAAAGAATTGGAACATACGGGAAAAACTGGTCTCATACGCCTGCTTGTCAAAAGTTGGAGACGTCTTGTTTGTGAATGCGTGTTGGGCATTGTAGGTGTAGAACTCCAACTCTGCCCCGCTTGCTTCGAGATCTGCCTTCAGTTTCTCATAATCAGCCGGTGAAGAGAACCCGACCTTGTCATCCAGTTCACCAAAGTGGCATTGAATGGGCACCTTGATTTTAGCGGGGTCAAACGCGAACACGTCCTTCTTGGGAATGCCGTAGAATGGGGCGGCCGCGTCGATGCTGCCGTAATTTGCAACTGTTGCTATGGTCACAGCTCCGCCCAGGCAGAAGCCGGTCACTCCCACTTTCTTGACTCCTTGAGACTTGAGGTATCTGTGTAGATCCAAAGAGTATGATTAGTCTTTTCAAAGCATGAATTTGGGTCAAAGTCATTCTCAATATCTCAAAGTCAGACCAGGACTGAAGTTCAAACCTGCTATATTATAAATGTGAGTCCTGCAGCCTATCACCAAGATCATTGATAGTATCCTCTAGTGCTCACCAGAAAAGGAAAATTGTTCACATAAAAATATAAATATTAGATTTCCTTTGACAGTGTCTTTTGGCTGCACCTCAATATGGAAATAGGCCATAACATACATACGTTTGTGTTAAGGGCTTGTGGGGCACCTGAGGTCTATTTTGGCTATTACAAGGCCTAGAGTGCCCATATTTGCTGTGGGACATCGTGTGTTATTGGGGATTTGAAATCAATAGTTCAAAGACTATATTGTGAATCGGTTGCCATGGAAACGGCGGCCATATTGGATTTTGTATACCTTTTCTAATCCCATTTTATTCCCTTATTTATTAACTGATTCACTTTTAATTTGGCATGTCAACAGTAAATATGTAGCTCTTAAATTTGGCTTGCTTTGATATATGTTTTAGTTTTTATTTTATGACACTTACAATTCGGCTGTTGTAAAAAAAAGTGGGAAAAAAAGGAAAATTCATTCTTCCTAAGCCCATAAATCAAAAACTGATCCGTTAATCAAAAATTCAACAAGCCAAAATTAAGAACTAGGTGTTGTTGGTATCCTGTGAAAGTTACATTGTAATTGAAAAAGAAATAGAGCAGAAAAACGGGATGATGTGTGAAAAAATAGAATTGTGAGAAAACAGCCAATAAAGGTAAGAACAGGCTGGAAAACATGTGCTTTCGCAGAACATGGGGAAAAAACTTAGCTTTAGGGTGTAGCAAGGCTTACATACGTTTCTGGATATTGTTCAGTAAATGTCCAAGTACTATAATATGCAATAACTCCAATTTGCATAATTTGACCCCAAAACTCGATTTCTAGGTGCCCGACCAGCCCCTAAGGGTACATACAGTCAGCTACTTCCGAGGCCCAGGAGGGGACAGCAGAGACATAAGAAGAGTGGGTAGTTTATGAGAGTGCTCGCTCTAGTGTGGTTTGCGCCTTCTCTCCTGTCGAATATCTACAGTCCTTATTTCTCCTACTTGTCTGTGTGTTACTCTCTAGTAACAACTCGAATCTTCAGCACTTATATGTCAATATGACCTCTTTGTATTGCAAGGGCTGTAAAATTCTTACTGAAACTAAACGTTGAAAGAAGAAGAAGAAGAAGAGGAGGAGGAGGAGGAGGAAAAAGGAGAAGAAGAAGAGGAGGAGGAGGAGAAAAAAGGAGAAGAATAAGAAGAAGAGGAGGAGAAAAAAGGAGAAGAATAAGAAGAAGAGGAGGAGAAAAAGGAGAAGAATAAGAAGAAGAGGAGGAGAAAAAAGGAGAAGAATAAGAAGAGGAGGAGGAGAAAAAAGGAGAAGAATAAGAAGAGGAGGAGGAGAAAAAAGGAGAAGAATAGGAAGAGGAGGAGGAGAAAAAAGGAGAAGAATAAAAAGAAGAGGAGGAAAAAGGTGAAGAAAAGAAGAAGAAGAAGAGGGGGAAAAGGGACAAGAAGAAGCCTTGGAAGAAGAAGAGGAAGTTAAAGAAGAAGAAGCTGGCTTGACAAAAACAGCCACAACGAGAGGTACTGGTACCCACCGGGCACAGGCGTCGATGTCCTGAATGGCTCCGGCCCAGTCGAGGTCAGCGGCGTAATGGGCCGCCTGCTCCCGGTCCTTGGTCACTTTCCCGCGGTACAGGTCTGGCACCAGGGTGGCGGCCGACTTGAGCCCCTTTGAGACCTCCAGGCCCACGTCCTGAATGTGCTGGTTCATGCCCCACCATTCCTAAAAAGATCACAGCTGTAAGTGTTTTACGCCCCCATTGATCCCTTTCGTTCCTAAAAAATATAATGTGGGTGGTTGGCAGGTGCTCTAGTGTGGTTTGTTCCTTCTTTCCTATCAAACATCTATCGTCCTTATCTTCCCTTCTTCTTTTTTATATTTGTTACTCTCTTGTAACACCTCTAATCTTCTGGCGCTCATATGACCTTATGCAGTTGCGAGCGCCGTAGAACCTTTACTAAAACTAAACCCCCAAAAAAAATAATATAGTGGAGTCAAATAAAATCCAAATCTGCGGGACTTGAGCCCCTGTGAGATCCCCGGGCCCACGTCCTGAATGTCCTGGTTCATGTCCCACCATTCCTAAAAAATAATACAATTGTAAGTGGGGTTTTTTTTTTTTACGTCGCCACAGACCCCTTCATTCGTAAAAATATATATAATGGAGTCCGATAAAATCGAAATCTGCAGGACTTTCGAACTTTCATCAGTTTAGCCTGGTTTTCAGTTTAGATTGGTTGCTCAAATAGAAGAAGAAAAGATCGGGGATTTTATTATTTTTTTTAAGGTTTACTGTTTTGTATTTTTAGGTTAACCGAGTTGGGTTTAAGCGTATTCCACTGTAATTGCAAGTGTTTTAATTTTCCGCTTGTAATGACTGAGTTAAGTTCAGATAGTTCAGGGGTGGGCTGCTTTTGACATGCCTGTCCTGTCAAGGACAAACTGGGCTTAGTGGGATACTGCACCCTCTCACCATTCCTGATAGCATGGAGTAGTTGTAGTTCATGTATTAGCGATATTGAAAGGGCCGATGCTTATCTACGTTGTCTGCCTGTTTAATATTCTGACGGTTGTTGCAAGAGGTGTTTAAGTTATAAACAATTTCACACTTTTTATAATATGTTTCGGATGGTATTGTCTTCTTCTTTTCTTTCCCTTTGTTGTTTCTGTTTGTCTGTCTAACTTTCCCCGGCACTGAATGACCATTATAGTGTTGATGTACCTCTCTTTACTCAAACAAACAAAGTGGGTGGTTGGCGGGTGCTCTGGTGTGGTTTGCTCCTTCTTTCCTATAAAAAGTCTATTGTCTTTATCTCTTTGTTACTCTCTTGTTACACCTCTAATCTTCGGCACTTATATGACCTTATTGTGTTGCAAGTGCCGTAAAACTCTTATTACTAAAACCAAACAACAACAACAAATCTTACAGTGTTGCAAGGAGTATTAATCCAATTCAGTTTTGCACTCCCCCCCCCCAAAAAAAAAAAAAAAAAAAAAAAAAAAAATCTTCGTTGCGTTGAAAGGGACGTAAACCCCTCGACCCAAACTCACCTGTATGACAATGACGGCGGCCGGGCTTGTGTTGAGGTCTCCGAAGACTACAGCGGGACATGGGCCCTGAGGGTTGGGTGACGGCACCTCTACCTTTACGCCTGCCATCTGGGGGGTCTGCAGAGAATTAATAGTGGGTCTTTTTTTCCTTACGGTTTTATTGTCTCTTCCTCCTCCTCCTTGGCCTCCTTTTTCTCTTCCTCGCCATCTTTTTCCTCCTCCCCTTCCTCTCCACCTCGACCCCTTCCTCCTCCTCTTTCTCCTCTCCTCTCCTCTCCTCCTCCTCTTCCCCCTCTCTGTGTCCCACCTCGTCGTCCTCACTCTCTCTGTCCCCCACCTCCCCTCTCCACCTCCTCCTCCTCCTCACGTCTTGTTCTTCTTTTTCTCCTACCCCCCTCCTCCTCACTCTTCTTCTTAATAATAATAATAATAATAGATAGCATTTGTATAGCGCATATCCCCACTCAACAGCAGGCTCTATGCGCTTTACACTATATT